ATCAAAAATACAACAATTAAACGGAACTGGGAGTCTAAATGGTATTTCCTGCTTGATATTTTGATGAGTTTGCATTGATGAGCACTGAACTAATCTATTCAAACAAATGCACTATAAAAATTAGTAGCCATTTAAAAAAACAGTAAATAAATAAATGAATATAAGGCGTTTATTAATAATGCCCCAAAGAAATGTCCTAATAAATTTTAGGTAGATAGAAACTTTAAAGTACAGTTATTTAAGATACAAACTACAATGCTGGCAATCAACAATACAGAAGAATGACTTCTGTAGACAAGGTTTCTTAATAAATAAAATTTTTTAAAAAACTTACCAAAAATGTAACATTAAATATGAAAGCTTTTTCAGAGGCTGGGGATTTAGCTCAGCAGCATAAGCACCTGCTTTGCAAGCCGATAAAAAAAAAAAAAAAGCTTTTTATATCACAGGAAAATATTAAAATGATGCATAGCTAAATGATGAGTTATTATTAGACATACTTTACACTTCTAACCAAAAGAATATATATTTGTTATAAACTTTATATATGATATGTATTTAACATATATATATATATATATATACATACATAAAATTCTTGCTATACTAAGGAAACTATACAATCTCAAAGAAATATTCTAAGTAAAAAGATCCTTTGCAAATATAGATATATAAATTGCTAATAAATATATAAAATCTTTTTCAATTTCTTTCATCATAAAAATATAGACTAACATTAAACATGATGAATAAAATTTATAAGATAAAGAGCATACCACAAAATGAGAAGCAATCTAAATCTCTTAACAGTAGAGTAGATATATAATGTGGTAAACTCTTAAGGTAAAATACTACATAACTCAGAAATTGAATCAATTATATTTGCCAAAACTATATGAGTTAAAACTGTATACATAATGTTGAACCAAAGCAGTCCAACACCAATGATTATATGCATTGCCAATTTCATTTATTTATGAATTCTCAATGGGGGAAACAACCCTATGGTGTTAGACATCAGGAATATTCCTACTAATAAGAAAAAGAAGAGGCTGCTGCAGAAAGTGCCTTGTAAAGACTGATAAAATTTGGTTGCTTCACTTTGGTGACAGGATCATAGTTTTCTGTGCTGACAGTTATAAATTGTGTTATAGTCCAATCTTAAAATTTTATGATTTTGAGCTGAATTGGTAATCGCATGGGTTTAAAGGGTACAGTGTGATGGGATGTAGTATAGATAGATAATTATAAGATGTTCAAATCAGGATATTAAGAAAATTTATCACCTCAAACATTCACTTTTTATAAGCAAAAAATATACTTCAAGAAATAACTACCAAAATCATGATTGATAATGTATCTAATTTTCTCTATGGTAAAGTGATTAACTTATTAATGCGAGGTAGTACTGAATGTTGCCCTTCGGTCTACGGTACTGGATCTGAATGAATAGGTGAATGAAACACAAAGGTTCAAGAAGTTACACATAAAGGACTGGAGATTCAAGACATGAAAGTTATATTTAGACTAATGAGTAGTAGTAGGGAGAAAAGTCCAAGTTTCAGATAATTTTATTACTTTAAAGATGCACATGAATAATATCTTTCCCTTTCAGGTGAGAGAAGCATACTTTGTGTAATGAAAATATCAACCGATTGTATTTCCTTTCTTCTCCATTTTCTTCCCTAGCACTCTCTGTTACAAACCTTAGCTCTCAGGACACCTAGATGATTCTAATAATTTGATTTAATTCTTCAAAGTGCTATACTCTTCTAATTTTGGAAAATATCCTCTACTCTCTAGTAGGATTTAGAGTATGAATAAATGTTTAAATGGACTGGAGGAGACCTAGTGCCTAAAACTCTTTAGAATACTATTTACAACTGTGGTGTTTTAAATTGATTGCTTGTAGCTTAGAGTTTGGGAAGAATGAATTCGAAAGAAAATATACAATGTTGGGAGGATAGAGATCATTCCAAATGTGTAATTAGCTATGAAGTCATTAAGATTATTACCAGACTTCATTCTTTAAAGAAGTTCAAATTAACTTCCATCTGCTTCCTCCTGCAGTGTTCTTCCTGTCAGAACCTCCCCACATTGTTGAGTCCCACAGCCAAATTCCCAATGATACATTTATTCAATTAAGTCAAAATGGTTTTCACAAGTGATTTTTGTCATCTTGATGGTATTTTCCAGTGGTAAATTGTTAAGCTGTGGTTTATATCTAGCTGTTTAGCAGGGATTTTGGAAGCAACCTATAAGTTGATGAGTGAATGCAAATGGATGATTGGATAAAGACAATGTGATATATATATATAATGCATATGCATATATTTATCTTTATGATATATATCACAGCCATAAAGATAAACTAGAGACATTTGTAGAAAAGTAGATGCATGTTGACACCATAATATTCAGTAACATAATCAGACATGTAATGTTAAATATCACATGACTTTTCTTACATATGAAATCCAAAATACAAACAATATAAAGGGAAAAATAAAAGGTATGGTAGAAACAATGAGATAAGCTGTGCATATGGGAAGGGATTCTAGGACTGGGGGAGATGGGAGGGAAGGGAGATGGAAAAAAATAAAAATGATGCTCTATGTGTGTGTACCAGTTTCCTCGGGTAAACATAATGACTCTGTCTTGCAACTACATAATAATAAAAATTATGTTACATTGTTATTTATGGATGCTGGGACAGATTACCACATGAAACAATAGAAATTTATTGCTTCCCAGTTTGACAGGCCTAAAATTCAGCTGTGTCCAGTCTGTGCTTTCTTGGAAGGCTCTGGAAATTCGATACCACACCTCTTCCAACTTCCGGTGCTGCTGGCTTCCTTTGCTTTTGGCTGCATCAATTCAGTCACTGCCTCTAATTGTACATGTCGGGGACACTGATGTTGGCTTTGAGTCTGACCCAAGTAATCTCCCAGTGTAAAAATCTTTAATCATATCCACATGTACTCTTTCCTTTATAAAAGAAGACATACAAGCTCCAGTTCTTAGCACTTGACATCCATGAGAGGCCATTATTCAGCTTGCAGTCTTTAAAAAGATTTCTAAACCAGACATAGTGACACTTACCTGTAATCTCAATACTTGAGAGGCTTGAGGCAGGAGGATAACCATGAACTGGAGGCTGGGTTGCACAGCGAGTGCAAGACCAGATGAAACTACATAGTGAGGCTCTGTCTCAAAAGTGAAATCTACCTTACATTTGGTAGCAGAAGGAGGAAATTGTTAAAAAAAGAGCAATACCTCTATATGTGTTGATAGTTGGAGCTTAGCTTTTAGTAAATGCCTGACACAGTCTTTGAAATCGATTGGAATTATTCTGAACTGTTGTTTATCCTTTAGATACAATTAGAGAAAGAGAGAGAAATCATATTTTTGATGATACATATTGTGCACTTAACTGATTCTATGTAAATGGTAGAAATATAATGAGTGTCATAGGTACTTGGCTTGCACTCTGGAACCAGGTGCTGTATAGTATAGCATAAATTAAAGCAGATAATTGGAACTTTCTAAATTTGGCTCTGGATCAGTACTATATTATGTGTGTAGCAAGAGGCTTGCCCATATGAAGACATGATTGGGGTTATAGTTTTACTCATGCAGCTTTTATTTGCATAACCCTTCTGTATAACATTTTAAATCTGATATATCTAGTCTTGTAAATCCAGCCCCCTGCAGTATTATAATAGTGGTATTTAATGCACTTGAGTCTCTATGAGAGATGAGACTGTATTCTGCACACAGTTGAGACATATCACACTTACATAATTACAGGATGCCTTCCTGCCAATCCAGTGGCAATCTACTTAGATTTTCTACTTATTATACAATAAAATTTCAAGAGGACTTTGCTGTGAAAGTGCTCTGTTATTTGAAGCATCAGTATTGGACATTTTTAAATCCAACTTTTCCCTTGTTGCCACACCTTGGATGAACAGTTTGCCTTATTTTCTCTTAATGGTTCTGAAACGACAGTCATCATCCCAGCCTTCTGCTTTTCCTACCTGCTGGGCACTGAAAACCAGATGAGTCAGACTTCACAGAGTTATAGCGTTTGAGGCAGGGCTGATGATTTCTCTCTACAGTTCTCATTTGGTTTTTAAGAAATATAACATCAGAAAATGTGATGTTTTCACTGCACTTAAACTTATTTCAGAATGACAAGAGCTTGTGTAATTTACTAGCATCAACTTCTCAAGCAAGATGATACCGGTCTAATAAACTTATGGGGGTATTTATGATAAGCGTATGTCTCTCTAAGCAGATAAGCAGTAAAACAAGGATGATGAAATGAGATTCATATTTTTTGATTTGTTTTAGACCTTTTGCAGGAAGTGTCTCAGTAGCCTCCCAATGGGTCTCTCTCTAATTTTTTTTTCTTTCCACATATGTCTACTTTTCTGCTGTTAGACTAATATCTCTAAAGCTTTTATATATCCAAAGTACAGAATGAAACATTTATTTGTATTGCAAATTATTGCATATGTTAAAAAATTAGCATACAGCCCCTTAAAGTGTTTTCCATGATGCATACCAACAAGTATAATAAATAATTTCAAGAAAAAGGATGATAAAAGCTTATAAGTGATTCTGAAGGCATTCAGAAAAGAGACTATTTTTGAATTGAGAAAAAGGTATGGATCTGTGAAAGAAGTCTTTAGCTTGGAGGTGACATGTGAGTATTATTTACAAGGCTTGATAAATTCAGAGAATAGTGGAGAAATTTGATACTTCTTTTTTAGATAATGGCTGGCAGATTTTAAGTGGAGGTATTCTACAATGTTTACTTTTACTAGAATAGTATTTGGGAAGTTTGAAAAATATTATAAACATGGTATGAATGAAGAATAATTTGAGGAAGATACTATAATGATGAGTATCTACACTAAGCCACTGTTCATGCGGTTGTATACAAATTTGTTTTTCAAAGAAGAATGGACAACGCTTGGTGAACAGGTGCAATCATATATAGGCTTACGAAGGTTAGATCTGAATACAACATATTTTCATGCTGAGTGATTTGAAAGACAGTGAGAGACTCCTTTATGTAACCAGTAGTGTCCAAGAAGAGGATTGTGACAGAGGAGCAGGAAAAAGTCTGAGAAACCTAAAACTTCTAAATAAATTTGATACATGTTCAAACTGTTTCAATATTATTTCATTGTTTAATTAGAGAAGGTTTTGCAGTCCTTGGATAGAGTGAAGAGGAAAGCGTTCCATGTGCTGACGAAATCTGCACTCTGCATTCAGTGAGATGAGTATGGTCCTTAGCTGAACTCACCTACATTGTGAGCAAATATCAGTTAATATTCAAATACTTTTCTTTGAGTTCAGTCTTACCCCAAGTTCCAAAAGTTTCAATCATTTAGTGCTGTGAAAATACAATTTTATCCAAGTTGTTGTCTTTATGGTGATATTTTGACTTCCTGTATAGACTGGCGATTAGCGTCCCAGCAGCTGTTGAGCAAGTGTGACATTTAAAACAGATTTGTTAAAGAAATACTATGCTTTTCTTGTCTTATTTGCTTTGGTTTGATGGTGAAAAAATGGAAATATGCAACTAAGAAAGTCAGCTGCAAGAGATAGAGTTTTAAAAGTTAACAAAATCCTGAATAGTTAAAAACATCTTAATTGATGTATTTTTGCTGAGGAAAGAAAAAAAAATATAGAGAGCATCCTGATAAGATATTAAAATATTTAGGCACACCAGTATTTTAGGACTGGAGAAGAAGAAAAGGTAGATGGGAAGTAAAACTGACAGGGGTCAGGAAATGGAGGAGTTCAGTTGATTGATGGAGATATTTCTTTGAAATTTGAGAAACAGTAAAATAAGTAAGTAAATACATAAATTCTGTGAGAGACAGAATTTACAGAATGTTTATGTATTAGATTAGATCTTGTTTATAGAATCAGGAGAAATAATCTGAAGTGAAGGATCGACTGATTAAAGGTGGGAGAAAGAAATCCACTGCTGATGAACCAGAATTTTCAAAGAAACAATGTTTATTAACCAGAGGTACAAAACTATCATATAACTATTTAGCAGCTGGAAAATTTTTAGATTTCTGTTGTTTGAAGTGGTGAATCACAATTTATAAGAAAGGACCATTTGAGTTGTATGTAGAATATTCTAAACTCAGAATCAGGTTTACAAATCTTTCAACTGCATGGCAGGGCATAGGAGTACAGCACTTCTATGAGCTCACCACCCACTCCCACATAATCCCACGCAGGAGGTGTGACATCACGCGTATGCCTCTTAGCTGCTGTTCCATCTCCACATTCAGTCAGTTGTCCTAACTCATTCATGAATGGTCAGCTCATATTTTTAAGAGAAGTAACCGAGAGCTCCTGTTTTCTGTATCGTAATTTTGTGCTTTTTAAATTAGAAGAATGTCAGAAACTGATCTTCAATTTTTAAAATAATAGCTTGTTAACAATCGTGTTGAATGTTGGATTGTTAACTAGAATGGTAAATTATAATGCTAATTAGAGATATTCAAGTTAAGTGGATTGGATACTGCCTCAAGTCCCATGACTAAGTTTTAAGAATCCTGTGGGTTTTGTATTTGAAATTTGATTCTTGTGTCTGTTTGTGTCATAATTTAGCTAGGAGGATTTCTGGCTCCCTGATACCTCTTATGAATGTAATAGCAGCCTACTTTTGGAATGTTGTTATATCTGACTCTAGGGAAGCTCATGCAAAAAGTCGATCAGAGAACATAAAAGGAAAAAGAGCTGGAAAGTAACACACCTACAAAACAGGTTCTATAAAGTGAATGAATACACGTACCTGTGGTAGAATGCGGTTTGAGGCAAGCTACCATCATAGGAGAGCTGGAAGTTGTGATGGAAGAGCTAATTTTTCGTTCTTGTTAAAGTAGTGCGCTTCTGTAGTACACATGTCCTGATAAACGTGGATCAGTTTACTGTAGGATCACACTTCTTCTGTAAAGATAGAAAGTGTCTGTGGAATATTAGAATTAACTCGTTATGCCATCCGCCACCATGTACGATACCGAGCAGCCTTATCTTTCAGTGTCTCTGGGAACTAGCTGAACCTTCAGTGCTGATACGAGCTAAAAATAGTTGAAGTTTTGGGTCAGCTACCGAAACACTTTCTATTTCCTTTTCTATTTAGCTCTCTTTTTCTATTTTTACCTTTTAAATTTTATTAGTATGTTATTGCAATGCCTGTTGGTTTCATTCATCTTGGGGCAATTGCAGTATATACATATCACGTCTTAATAATTTTTATTTTCCCTGACTCTCTTGCATCTTAGCCTATTTCCAAAGTCTCCCTTAATCTCCACAATGTCTGTCTCCCTTATTTCCTGTCATGTATCTTTCTTTTGGGGGGATGCTTTAAATTAATTTTACTTTGGGTGTCTCAAAAAAAAAAAAAAAACCTATATGATATTTAACCTCAGTGTGTGACCAATTTCACACACTGCGTCTTATAGTCTCAAGATGCATCTGTCTTCCTACAAATGACTAAAATTTCTCCATTTTGGCCGTTGTGTATATGTAGCATATTTTCTTTATCTATTTGTCTGTCATTGAGCCTACAGTCTAGGTCCAAGATTTAACAATTATGAGTTATAGTAGCATGTCAGTGTGAGATAATTCACAGGCTTTGTTGTGTAAATTTCTGTCTGCTGCAACTGACTGAGCCTAGCAATTAATTTAAGTGTAAGCCACTAATCTATACATAGTGTCACATTACCTATGCTGAAATTTATTTCAAAGAAATTTTATTTCAAAACACAATACCAATGATTTAATGTTAATTTTGTCTTCTAAATAAGGTGTCCATGAACAGTATAGGTTCTCATGGATTGCGTGGACACTGAGATAGGCCTAAATGGATTCTTAAATACTTTTTCCTCTTTTGTAGAATAAAGAGGGCTTCATAATATTGGTAGGTGCCATCTCACAGTGGGAATTCTTTAAAGGGGACGATTGCACTGTCTCAGTAAAAATTTGGAAATTTGAGAAGGGATTTCTGCAGTGATCAAAATAATCTCTCGGAAGGATCTTTGTGATGTCTGGAGTGGCCATATTTCACAATATCTAAGGTACCCATATAAGGAGTACAAACAAGAATCATCCCATCCAAAATGCCAACTACATTGCTATTGGACAAAACTGTAAGCCTTTGTAATGTAATTTTTGTTTAACTTCCAGATATCATGAAATTTAGTATTATAATCAATATTTCTTGTCTGTATTACCACCTATGTAGATGATTTGAGGGTGGGTTAGGATTTTAAATCTTCAATCTTTGAGCATTCTTACAGCATCTGATGAACATAATGTTTTCGAAAAATGTGTGTGGCTCAGTAAAACAGTAATGTGTTTCATGATATTCAACTTTTCTTCCTAAATAATGCTAAAATTTTTTTCTCAAATACATCTTAGCAATTTTCATGTAACAAGAATAAACAGCACACACTTGTAGATATTAAAATACATAAAGGCGAAATTTAATTTTGCCACATCTTTTAGAAATTTTTATATTGTCATTATTGTTAAAAATATTTAAAAAGTCAATGAAAAACTACATGTCCTTACTAGGTTTAAATATCTCTGAGAGAGAGTTTTGTGGCTTTTTTTGTGTGTGTGTGTGTTGTTAAGTTTTATTATTTGTTCTTCTAATACTTACATTATACAAATTTTCACACCAATACGAAAACTATATCTCTTTATCTCCAGTTTGTTGAGCCTTAAATTTATAGTTTATTTTTTCATTACTATCAAATATGTAAGAGTTCAATGTTTTTTCCAGACTGCATTATATGCAAAAATGATTAAAGGTTTAGGGACAAATACAGTTCTCTTGTTAAGCAAGCTGAAATCCACTAAACATAGCATAATTCTTTTACAGTGTTAAATTTTCACTTTGTATTTTTTGTATAAATTTTTGAAATACTCAAACAATTGCAGGTTTATATAAACCTTCTAGTTAAAATCTTATAAACCATAACCAGTCTCCAAAGCTATGGTTTATAAATCATATTAATATGTTGACAATATACTACAAAAGATGAAGTACTATGATGAAGTACTGCTGGACTAAATTTTACTGATTTCTTGGAACATTTGGGATTTCTCTTTAGCACAGTTTTTTTTTAAGTGAAAACCTATTTTTCTATTACCAGTTTTATAGCAAGTTCAGAAATGAATGTGATTCTTTACAAAAAACTTCAATTCCTATGTGCAGTGTTAAACTAACAAAATAAAATAGGTTTGTTTTTAGAAAACTTTTCCATGACAGTAATAGTTACTTTAATGAGTTAAGGAGTTTTTACCTATCCCATGACACCTCAGCAGATTGATACTTAAGGCACTGGATTTAGGAGTCCATCCTTGATAATTAGTCTATGATTTTATGTGCTATAATGGAATAAAGATAGGTGAGAATGTGCAATTTCAGGAATGGCCAGTATCCTTGGAGAAGGTTAAGAAAACTATGGCAGTGATAAGTTGAGACAGGCACATAGTTCATTTAAACAGTTTGTTTCAAAGACTCATATTTCTCTAATATTTCAGGATTTAAAAAAAATAAATGTTCTTGCAACTCTATAAAATACATCATTGCTATTTATTGGGAGAAGTCTAGATGCAAACTTAAATCTTGATTTTTTTTGGAAAAATATAACTATTTAGTATCAGAAGCTGTTTGAAGATATCACTGAATTTCAAATTGTTCTCTGCATTATTACATTCAAGTTCACATTCACAATACTTGAATGCATAACAGTGTGAAATGTTTCTTCTAGTGATATGAGGGCAATCAACAATGAAATCCTCTTTTTTTGATGTAGTAATATTACCTAGAGAAAAATATATATCTAGTGATATATAGACTAAAGAGTTCAAATTAGTAAGCACCTTACCAGCACTGAAGAAATTAAAGGGAAAATGTAGATGAAATTAGAAGGAGTATTTTTTACAGTTTATGGAATTTTTTTATATTTATTGGCATTAGAAGAATATCGTTCTATTTTTTCTCTTTTGAATTGCCTACTACTTTTCAGGATATATTGCTAATATGGAATTCTTGCATGCAAAGAATTACTAATTTCAAAATTCTTGCATCATTTGCCAAATTGCCTTCCAATTTGTGTTATATGCAAATGGCCCTTGCAGTATCACTTTGCCAGTTGCTTCCATCTTTTTAGTTATAGCCTTGAGATAGACAATTATTGTATATGAATATTATTGTATTAGTTTCCTAATTCCTAAAATTAAAATGATAACATTATGCTATAGCAACTTTATTATCTCCTAGATTTTAAAGTAATAAATGTCAGCAATAGCAGAGTAAAACAATACCAGGCATATTTTGCTATTATTAATAATTCTGATAAGAACAATATTTATTTTATTTTTTAATTTAAGTTTTACAAAAATAAAACATATTTTAATAAGTTTAATGGACAATTTGCTTCTTTGGTGGTGAGTCTTCTATGATATCCTTAACATAATTGTCTAACGGAAGTTTATATATTTTACATATTCTTTAGGTATTATAGATGTTAACTCTCTTTTTGACAAAATAATTTCAAATATATTCCTCAGATTTATCATTTTACACATAGATTATTGCAATTTTTATTAAGTTAAATAATCCTGAAGTTTACATGCATTTATCCAGATCTGTGTGGTTAGGAATAAATTGGTTTCCTGAAGTTACAGTAAAAAAATCATCATGAACTTAAACAGGATAAAAATGTATTGTGTGGAAATTACAGAGACTAGAAATTCTTTGGAAATGCTTTTTTTTTTTTTTTTTTTTTTTCATCTAAAACATGCTGACTAGGTCCAGCTATGCATTCTGAAACACAAGAGAAAGAAGCAAGTCCTCTGAGCTGACTCCTCAGGGGTCAGGAATTGGAGACAGGCTCCACACACGTTTTTCCCTTAAGAGGCACAGGTCACTGAGCTGCAGAGTCCTCTGTCTGTGGTTCTTTGGGTCCGCTGGAGTGGAAGCTTGTTGCCCAGCTCTGTTGTTCTCAGGGACCCAAGGGCATCTGACTGTGCAAGGTCCCACCAACACTCTGAGAAAGAAGAGAATCCTGTCCCTGACACAACCCTCCCCACAAATCCGAATGTAGGCTGTGAGCCCAGACCCAGAGGCTTGGAGCAGAGCTTTCTTCCTGACTGTGTGGTACCGTGCCAGGGGAGGGACACAAAGAGAGAGTGCCACAGATTCTCAAAAGAGGCTTGATGCAGCCTCTGCCTGCTGTTCTACAGTGTGGAGGAACTTTCTCTGCGTGCTGGGTTTTTAGGACTTGGTCTGGGTATTTTGGTGTCCCAGTGGAGCAAGGAGAACCTAGACCCTTCTGTTCTATCTCTCTTTCTACTTCTTTGTGTCAGTTACACAGCCAACAGATATGGATACTATGGCAAACAACTTGAGTGCACATGTGTGTTCAAGATAAGAAAAAGAAGCCTTTTAAGCCATAGATTATCTCTTATCTCATATAGCTTTTCATTAAATTTTCATTTCTTCATGTGAGAATACGTAACCATGAATCTTCTGTAGATTGCACAAGCAATTGAGAAAAAATGTAGTTTTCTTTTGAATTGTCTCCTAAATGTTAAAATTTATCATTTTCTATTTTGCCCAATTTTAAAAGGTTTTAAATTTATTGCATTTGCATTCTTCCCTCTCATCAATTACTAAATCTGTGAGCCCTAAGATGTTATTGCAATATTTCTTGTTTAGAAAAACATTTCCTTTCATTTGATGTTCATTTCAACATTCAACATCCTGCTTGGTTTTTCTGGGCTATTGTAGTCTACTGAAGCTGTCAGTTTCTACAGTCTTAGCTCTATTTCTACTTTCTGATGGTGTCTTTCTGAAAAATCTTTTTCATAGTCCCTCAAATATTATTTTATTCTTCCTGTCCCCTACATGTTGGAACTTTGTTCTTTTACTC